CTTAGTTAGCCTCATGGCTAGTTATTTAGGGTTTAACACCCCTCATAAACTTTTAAGTGCAATCAGAATAGGATTAGAAAATAAAGTTTTAAAAAAAATTTTAAAAAAGATTAATTGTTAACTTTGGAAATTATAATATTGCGGAAGGCTATTCAATGATATGACCAGCTTTATTTAAAAAAGAAATTCTTTTGATTTTTTGTAAAATTTACATGTCTACTTTCTTGCAATAAATTAAGTATCGAATGTTTCATATGATTCAAATTGAATATTCTATACCATCACATTTTGTAGAAGGAGTCAAAACTGATATTCTTTTTGTTGAATGAAGTAGAGTAGAACAAATCAATGCTCAATTGAAAGTTAAATCTTTAAACTATTTTTTTTGTGCTTTGAATTCTGAAGATTATATGTTAGTATCCACATGCACTACTAGTAAGGAGATTTAAGCTAAATTACACACTATATATGAAGGTATTAGTGAAGTCAAGTAATTCAGGTTGAATACTTTAATGCGTGATTATGAACTAATTTTCATGAAGACTTAGGAGACTATTCTAGACATGTATACTAGATTTTCTCAAATAGTGACATCATTACACTCCTTAGATAAAGAATTTTCAAACTTTAAAAAAATCAATAAAATTCTATGTTATCTACTTAATAAGTTTGATGCCAAAGTCAAAAAATTTAAATAAATATTCTATTAATAATTTGATTGGCTCACTCATTACCTATGAGCAAAGTTTGAGTCAAAAGCTTTTGGATGCAGGTGAAAGTATAGTTCTAAAAGTTGAAGACCTATGTTGAGACTAAAGAGATAGCAACAAATGCAAGTGAATTTAAAAATCTATTAAAGCACAAGCATCAACATAAAAAAAGTGGAATAAAGGTAAAAATGATAAGAATATTAAGATTTTTTCTAATGTTATTTATTTTGAGAGTAGAAAATTTGGAAAAATGAAAAATCAGTGCCCTAATGTAAAAACTCTTTCAAGAAAAAAATGGTAAAAATAAGTAAAAAGTAATAAGGGAAAATGTTAAAAAGCAAAAAATCTCCTAGGTAGACCTAATTTATGAATCAACGGACTAGGAGCAAAATAATGAGATATAAAGTTTTATTTGTGTTTATGTGTTGTAGTTAATGCATGTATATTTTTAATTTTGTTTTGTTCATTAAATAATTTTGTGCTTTTTTTAATCAGTTTATTTTATTTTTTCTTGTATATTTTTATGATTTATCTCTGATCAACACACACAAATCACTTTTCACATTGTATTTGCATAAGAGAATCAATCACTTCTCTTAATTTTTTAATGAAAATTTTACCTCCTTTTTACCTAAAAATTTTAAGTAGTGAATGACTTTTCTAATTTTTTAGAGGAAGGAAATTCATGATTATGTCTCTCATTCTCATTTTCTTAATCAGGCTATTGTACTTTTGAATAAAAAACTATATCAACTTAAGATGGACTTTGAAATTAAATCTTTTGTATCATCCTATATTTTTTCTATCTCATAAGAATCTCTTGCAAGATGATGAATTTATTTCATAATTTTCTTAATCAAAGTGTGCCAAAAACTGATAAAGATATACAAAAAGAGCCCACAATAAGTTAACTTACCTTTCTTATATTTTTAAATCTTAGAAAACCTATATGTCTAAATGATACATTCAATACTTGAGTTTGAAAATCGTGATTGTGACTCACCATTTTTGCATTGATATTATATTAGATATATTTCATGTAAGAAAATTGAAAAAGACATTTTTTTTCTTCTCTTTTTTTTTTAGTTATATTTTATTTAAAAAGAACTTTAACCTATAAGGAACTTGAGCTAGGGTTGATGAAATTTAAATGTCTAACCATTTTGGATCTTAGTATTATCAATTCATTTCTTACTATGTTTTTAGGTAACTTTTTCGTTTTGAGAAAATTTGTTAAAATTAATTAGTTATTCTTAAACATCAACACCATCTCCACCTAATCAGAGTCTACTATATGTGTTTCATTTTATTTTTTATATATTTTCCTTCTTTTTTGATAATGTCAAAGGGGGGGAATATATTTGACTTGTTAAATTTATGTTTAAGCTGCATATGTTCATCTTCTATTTATATGAGCTTATTTGTTATTTTAGGTTCTAAAACTTTTGTATTTTTTGTTTGTTTCTATCTGATAAAAAATAAAAAAGAAACATTTTTTTACTTCCCCTATTTTTTTTATAGTTATCTTAGTGATGGGGAGATTAGGAAAAAATATTTTAATTTTTCAAATTCAACAAGTAATATTTGTCATCAGAAAAAAGTGGGAGATTATTACAACTCGAGCTCACGAGTTTATATTTTTTATGAAAATAAATATTGTAGCTCACATCTTATTGTCTACTTATTTTTATAATATATTTGTATTGGTGTGTGTACTAACTTTTAAGGAACACCATGCACAATCCAACAAAAATTTAAGGCTCAAGATTGTGTAGAATATGTTATGATGTAATGATTTTTATAATATTCATTGATGTATTTTTTTTTTTTATTTCTTGAGTTAAGTCTTATTAGGGGTGTATGCTTGCTTGGTGACCATGCACACACACACTCATGGGGACTGAGATTTAATCAAAATTAGAAGTTTAAATTTTCAAACTAATCGTATTGTATGATTGATATCATAATGTATGATCAGCTCTTCTAATTAATCGTACTAGATAATTTAGATCATCTAGGATGATTAGTTATAATCATGAAAAATAGTCATCAATCATAATTTTAAGTAAGATTTTTAATTTCATATTTTTTGTAATCATCCAAGATGATATACATCATGCTGGACGATCTATGAAAATCATGCTTAAATCAATCCTATGATTAGGGGGCTAATTATGGTTAATTTGTTCGATCCGATCGTCTAGGACAATCAGTGAAGATCTTACTGGATGACCCGAGAGATACATGGGATGATACTTGAGCATCCCATGCAAAATACCATAATTTTTTTCCTAATTTTCCAGGACAATCCCCAATATCATATTAGATGATCTGTATAAATTTATACTAATCATACTATACTATCCTGAGATCGTCTAGGACTATCCTGTCAAATTTTGCTTATCATACTAGACGATTTTGAGATCATCCAGGATGATATTTAGTGTCATTATTGAGTTTTTAGGGTTTTCTAAAGCCCTCTTTTTAAGCACATCGTACTAAACAATCCTGTGATCGTACTGAACGATAATTGACTGCATAATTAATTTTTTAGGGTTTTTCAAAGCCCTCTATTTAAACCTTGTCAAGGCACTTAGTAAGTATCTTTGGCAGTCATTATGTCTTCGTTCTTCCGGAGAAAACTTGAAGAGAGAACTTCAAATGGAGAGAGGAAAGGGGGGAATTTGAGAGGGAGAAGATCCTCTGAGAAGGTTTCAAGGGAGTGTGGAGGAGATTTCACACGGTTACTCCAGCAAGCTTGCACCTTAGTACCACAGATTCAAGGTTCTTCTTGAGGGAAATTTTGGGAAAAAGAAGATCTGTTTGGTGTCAAAGAATCCGGCTACTCCTCCCCACCGGGGAAAGTGAAAGTGATTTTGTAAGGGCTTCTCCGCCTAGCTGTGGGGGCTAAAGGAGGGTCACTAAAGGTTTAGTACAATACGTGAAACAGAAGGTTCCAAGGAATGGATGTAGGTCATGTTGGACCGAACCACTATAAATCTGTTGTGTTCTTTCTGATTTTATTTTTTCGCACTTTATTTTTTGCAATTATTTTTGGATATAAGTGTTTGATTGAAAATCTATAACTGATATTACGTTGCATTGATTATCTATTTTCAGATGTTGAAAAGGCTTTAAGAAGGGGATTTTTCTTTTTGTTGAAAAAAGGTTATTTTAAATATCCAATTCAAACCCCCCCCCCCCCCCCCCCCCCCCTCTTAATTAGCCTTAGGACCCCCCCCCTCTTGGTTAGCCTGGGTATTAGTTCTTTAGAGTTTAACACCCCTCACAAACTTTCATTAAGGAAAAGAGGTATCTTGGTTAACAAGACTTATGTATTGTGCTCTTCCTTCAATGAGAACCATTCTCATGTATTCTTTGATTATGAGTTCTCCTTGTGTACTATTAAGAATTCCATCCCTTTTGGTAACTTCTTTCATATGGGGAGCACCCTTCAATAATTTTTAGATCGTTCTAATAATATTCAAAGTAAAGTCAGCTAGAATTTTTTTCTTTTGGGAGTGCATCACTGCTTACTATCTTTGGCAAGAGAGGAATGATTGCATTTTTAGAGGTGACATTCTTAATGTTCTCATTGAGAAAATTAAATTTGCAATCAGAATATAGAGTAAGATGTGGGATTATCAATCAGTTCTGCCTTTCCACCTGGCTAATATATACTTTTAGTTTCTGCTGTTTACCTTGTAGGTTTTTTGATGTTTAGTCTTGCTTTTCTGTGATGGATGATTCTTGCTTTTGGATTTTGGTCCCTTTTTGTTTCCAAGGAGGTTTTGCTGCCTTGCCAATGCTATAACCTGATTTTGTTGACTTCTAGCGACTGCTGGTGCTGAATGCATATATCTGGATTATTACTATACATTTACATTTATATTTTTTTTCTTGAACAAATACTCCTATCTTAAGCATATATCATTGAACTGATTCCTATTTGCCGCTTTCAATGGCAATTTATCACTGATTTTACGTACAATGGTGGTCTTCTATGTGACAATCTAAGCCCATTTTTTTGTGACTACATAGTTTGTACTTCTTTTCTCTTAGTCATGTTTGGTCTTCAATCTTTGGGCGATCAATAAGTCATATATATACTTCTAATTTTTTGATCTATCAAATAAATCTGGCGTGGCCCTCGTTTATCCCAAAAAAAAAAAAAAAAAAAAAACAAGCAACCAAGGCCATCCCCCCACCAATTAAGCTCTTCAAAATGGTAGACTACTTGTGCATTACTTATTCAGGAGCCAAAGCGCACAAGTTAATGCTAATTACAAAAGATCAAATAAATCCATGTTTATTATGATTGAACTCAACCATATAAAGCCAGAAAGATGTGTGATGTAATGACAGGTCATTACAACTTCTGTATGGTTGAAGCAAAATAGCAACAATAATATAATATATACACTCACCTAGTTCATAGTACATAACTGGCTTACACGTCTCATTAACCCAGGCGATTAAGGATCAAAATCTCTTTATGTAAACCAATAGAAAAATTATTGTACAAGGTCATTAGCTCTCATCACAATGAAAAGGTACATAATGAAATTTATAGGAAATGGTCCTGCAAAAGCTTCTTGAGATACTCTAGTTTCTGAACGACCTTGGGGTTCATTAGATCTGTCGCCTCCCTGATGAGAGTTCCTTCTCTACTGAAATAGTATGCATCCACAACAGTACTGATCCATGTATGCAACTGCTCTGGTGTCCTACAAAATATACAACATCCCATAAGTAATGATCTAGTTTTAAAACCAGCAAGCTAAGTCAATCATTAGCATAAATCATTACTTAGTCCAACTGTCATAATTTCTCTAGTAACAGATTTAATAATATCCTTTTATCTCCACTCAACTTTTTTTGAAAAAGAGGGGAAATGAGCGAGAAATGTGTGTGAGAGATAACTAGAGATAAGAGAGGTGGTCAATCAAACCCCATAATTGATACCACAGGAGAACTCTAGTTGGACTAGAGAGTAAGAGAATATATGAAGGGTTGTTAGCTCCGCACAAATTCCTATGGACCCATAACTATGAATAAGTTACGGCTAAGCACAGAAAGCATGTGTGGTGAGTCCAAGAGGAAAAGGTCAAGCGTATACTAGAAAAACTAGTTTAAAAAGGGTAAACAAGTCATTTTAGATAAGCGAAAAGAGAATATTTGGAGAAGTTTTCACTGCTATGTATATACACGACCCTAAACCCTAAACCCTAAGCTTTTACTTTCCATCCTCAGATTAAACAAATATTATGAGTATGCCTACATTTAGAACATAACTAACAATGGTAAGAATGTCTATAATATCATACGTGTACAAACAATCTACATCCTTCCCTTCCAGTTCAGCACCAGGCGTAAATGCATCTTTTAGTGCTAAGAGCTGCTCTTCTACGTCATCAATTGTTAGAAGGTACTTAAGTATCCTGATCTCCTTTGGTACAAGTCTCTGCATATTTCCTACTGCAGCCTTGTATAAATGATACAGTATATCCTTAACCTGCACAATTTTTCCCAAAATGGAAATCACATGTCTATAATATATTCAGATTTAAGGAAAAATACTTTTAATAGTTTCATGTTTTAAAGTTAATCACATAAAAAATTATGTCCAGCATTTATGCATTTCTGATATTGACAGAAAAAAAGTTTCACAAATCGAGAAATCACCAAAACATTCATCAAATTGGAATAAACAAGTCTACATGAACAACTAAAGAGCCCTTCAACAAGAAAACAACTCAAACAAAATCATTGCAAATTTCCAGATCCATGTTAGAAAGGACATTCACTGCAATAGTGTGGCCATTGCTTAAAGAAAACAGGCTACATTATACAAACTAGCTGATATTGGGGAAAAAAAATCCCATGCCCTAACTATTAATAGAACAATTCTACATTAATAATCATTATTATATTTCAATATATTTTCTTTCATATTCTCTACTATTATATATATATATACACACACACACACATTGAATTCAGATTTGTCTAGAGGATGATATCTGACTTTACTAGCAGATCTATCTGGTAAGTTGAGAACCTGTTAGTGAGAATGGAGAATAGAAAGTTGAGAGTATGAGAGTAAACGGGTAAAATCTCTACTATCTCAATTACAAAATACAAGAGGTAGGACTCAAGAGGTCCAAAAGATTCAAAGAAAGACCGAGGAGAAAAGTCTCAATTGTCCACATAACATCTTATATATAGGATTTTTGGGACTACAGGAAGGCTATACAGAGAAGTAAAATACAGGCTACACATAAAAAACCCGTACAACACTACACGCTAATCTAGGATAGTGTCGGCTCTTGGTTGGCTATAAGAGGACAAAGTCAACATATAGCGAGTTGTCTGCCATTGAGTGAACTCAAATAGGCGAGTAGGTGTAGGATGAGTCTGCGAGCAAATCTCGAAAGAATATGGACCCATACCAAGTGAATCCACTAATCAAATCAGTAATTGGCGTAGGAGCTTGTGTTTAAGTTTGAAAGCCTGACCTTGTGTTTTATTGATTACAAACATTATTGGGTGATAATTTAATAATTCCTACTTTAAATATTGCATATTCTTCTTGTGTCACCAACCATTTTAGGTAGAGCATACACCTAGCAAAAGCGAAGAATCAAGGTTCAAAACAGTAACATCAGTGTCTAAGACAGATTGTATTTTCTTTATTTTTCTTATCATTTTCTGTATTAGGTGTATGTTGGCAAAGCAATCGTGCGCACACACAAACAAGTTGGAGTAAAATTGAATATTTTATTTTTTTCTGTTAATCATATTGTACGATCTAAATCGTACTGTGCGATTTGTTCAAACAGACAACAACAACATCAAGCAACCATGCACACACAACAATGATCTGCTCAAATAGAAATTAACTAAAATGTTTAATCAAATGAGATTAATTAATTAATTATAATTAACAAGAAAAATGAGATTAATTAAAATTGAGTTATAATTAATCTTAATGTACAACCATAAATTGTATTGTACGATCAACTATTTTGATAAAACCCTATCACTGAATTTATGTTACTTTAAATAGACAAATTTGAATTGGTCGTATTGTACAAATTGGTTTGTATTGTATGAACATTAATTAAAATTTTCTAGTTCAATCCCATAGATTAAGGAATCGAATCAGGATCCAGTTATCATTAATGATTGTATATGATTTATACTTGTCAATGATGCAACATAGCACGCGACATGGCGCACAACACGTCATAGTGCATAGGTTGAAAATAGTTCGCACTTTTTGCACTATGTATGCAAAATATCACATGGCACAAATAGTGCATGCAATTTTATTTAGTAATTGTTTAATATAAATTTTAAAAAAATTTAATAGTTAAATATTTTTTTAATTTATAAATTAATATAATAATGATATTTAAATTATTTATTATGATAAAAATAATTAACTTGGATTCCATTAAAGTTTATTTGCTATTTAAACCATTCGACACTCATGTAGGGTTTGTTCCGTCATTTGCTATTGGTTCGAAGCTCGATTAGGGTTCGAACAGTCTTCCTCCTTTCGTCACTCGCTACTCGCCAGCTAGTTCGAAGCTTCCATCACTCACTTGCTCGTTGTGGTCGCCTAATTAGTCATATGCTAACTTGTTGTATTCCCTGTACATTATACTATTGTGCAGTTGCCTTCGTAGTCTCTCGTATCTACGTTTCTACTTTTGTTGCTTACTTTTGCTACCAAGCACTTCCTAATTCCTAGAGTGGCTTGTATTGCCAATGTTACTAAATTTTTTGTATTGCCAAAACTGTTAGATTTTTTGTATTGCCAATGCTACTAGAAGTTGTATCGCTTGGTTCTGAACATTTAGTTATCTTGACACATCATATTAAATTATCTTAATAGATTTTTTTTCTATTTTTTATATAAAGATTGTGAAAATCAGACCAGACAACGAATTGGAATGAGAGGTTCATGATTTGTCTGGTCAAATTAGTGTCAAACTGGATAACGTAATAAATAATAATATTATTAAAAATTAATAAAATTAAAATAATAATGATATTATCATTTCAAATATGAAACAAAAAAAATAAAAATAAAATAAAATTATTTTTATAATGTATAAACAAATAAATAGATAAACTATTATTAACTAATAAATAAATATTATTCACATTATAAATAATTATTTAAAAAATCTTTTCAAAAATGAATTTTATGGACATTACATATGTTATGAGCTCATAAACCTCTCTTTAATCTCACATCACTTGCAAACCCTTTCTTGCTATTGTTTATATAGCTTTTAGAGTTTTCCTGTGTTATGAGTTCATTTGGAGTGGTGGGGGCATATGAAGATGCTTCATGATGATTTGGGCAAATAAATATAATAAAAAAATCATGCTAATTTAAAATTTAATATTTTAAATATAAATTAATTTGTTTACTTAAAAAAACTATTTAATATTTAATCTTTAATATGATAAATTTATTTATTTAATTATTTAAAAATGGGGTAATTGAACTAGCCAATTCATCGCCGATTCTAACTGGTTCAGTCAGATTTGATGCATAAACAATTCTCAGAGTGGACAGGACCGGCCTTATGAGAAGCTCAAGATTGAACCGATCAGCCCAGTCGATCCGGTCCGATTTTTAAAACTTTGATTTATATATTTCTCTCTTGTTTATATCCAATCTTGGAATTTTTTGTTAAGTGTAAGGATAACATTTGCCTTCTTCTATGACTTGATTGCACTAGCCTATTTTGTAAGATATCGTCACTATTGGGAACATAAGATTTTGTTGATAAAATGGACATTTAAGAGACAGATTATTTATAACTTCGTTCTTAATGCAAACTTACTCGTACGCATACTACTTCAAAAAGTTAGTAATATTTATGTACCTAGTCTTCTCTAATTTAATTTTATGAGGTAGTGGACTATATAGGGAAAATGGTTGATTCAACCACTTTTTCTCTAAAAATTTTTATCACCTATACCTTATGCCCCTTATACTTATACTTAGAATTTTCTTATAAAGCTTGTTATATTTTGATATCAATTTAGTGTTTTGTCACATAAGATATCAATTTAACTTCTTTTTATATTCACTCTAAATAGATGCTTCATCATAATAATGTTATGCTTTTTTTAACATGTAGTTTTGAGTAAAAAAGAACTAATGTATCAATGTTTGTAATGGTTGTTTATTTCTAAAGGCACACATTTTAAATCCCAAATATATCTTCAGTAAAATTAATATTGCAAAGAGTAAGAAAACAGCAGATGGAAGATTATCTAAAGATATAGATGAAGAAGAGAATCAATAAAAAATTAAGTTTATATATTAAAGGTGAAGGTCTATTCGGTATTCCTCCAGCAATAAGACAACGGACTACCCGATCTCAAGGTATCATTATTTGCATTAAATTAAGATTGATTAGCAATTCTATACAAATAGAAAAAAATATTTCATTTCTTCTAACTTATTGGTGGTTGCATATGGCCAAGGAGCTCCCCAATTATAAAGTTTTGTAATCAAAGTCTTTAATCTAACATATAATTAATCTGGATGTGAATACAATTGTAATAATTCGAACATGTAAATATTTTTATAGAGTGTGCGTTGCTTTTTTATGTATATTTATAGTATAGTAATATAATTATGTTTCAATTGCAACTTCATAATAAAAGAAGTAGAATAGATCATGATCATCTCAAAGATTTAATTTATGTAAAATATAATAAGTGTAATAAGTAATAACCCATATTTTATCCAATTCATTTTTTTTTATTATTATAAGTCAAATTTGAAAACCGCATTTGTCATAAGATAGATATTATTGTGCTTTATTTATAATAATTTTCTCATAATTTTAGGGGTAGTGTCGAAAATTGACACCTATTGATACATGTGAGGTTTTGGGAACATTAAGTGTCCGTTTTATAAATCAATTTCATAAAAATATTTTAAAATTGATAGGTTATTTCATGAATATTTTTCTTTACTTTGCTGGATTAATTTATATTGAAATATTTATAAAATCTTTGGCTAGTTAATGAAGAGATTAAAGTAGGAATTTTTTTTACCAAAATTTTGATAGTGAGGCATTACAATTGATATTAGAGCAAAGGTTATTAAAAGAATTGGATTATAACTAGAGTTATAGGAAATGATTAAGATGGGTAGAAATGAGTAGTGTTAGAATTTATTTTATTTGCATTCATTCAATGCATATGCGTGATTGTATTATAATTTGATAGGAAAAAGAACTATATTGAGTACAGTTGATCCACCTGAAGTGCCAAATGAATATAATGCAAGTCTCAATGAGTTCTGATAACATGATGCAGTTTGCCAGTCTAATAGCACAGCTGATGAGTGATGCACAGAGCAAACGGGTTGTGATCAAGGAGATTGAAGAGGATAAACATTTATGGATGTTCCACAAGTTGAATCCCCTGTTGTTCAAGGGAGTTGTAAAGTCATAGAAAATAGAAGATTGGCTATTGAGGATAGAGAAGATATTTGATAGTATGTAGTGTCCAAAGAAT